CCCTTTAAAGCAACTGCTAACCTATTCGGTATAAAAATCACATGGCTAGTAACTTATAAAAAATTTATTTAAATTTTATTTTTAAGCCGTGCAATATTTTTGTCCCCCCCCCGGTACACATCCATTTTCAGATCTTGTTTTTCTAAGAATCGTTTTGTCAACATGTTCGGAAAATCATTGTCAAAATCGCTTTCTGAGATGGGTAGTTCGAGTCCTTTTAGATTTTCTGTACTGTGACAAGAATTGGAAAATGAATAATCAAAAGATATAAAGTAATCCTACATTGACTAACTTACTATGTTATTATAGCACGTCTGATGCTGTCAACAATATCTTTCTCCTCTTTTGTTAGCTCAACATGATTATTCTTTTCAATTAATTCCGGAGATTAATTTTCGATTTCCTTAACAATGTTTGCGTTTTCTTGTTTTGTTATCTAAAAATGAATTGGTCAGCAACATTTAAAATGCTATAACAAGAAAACCTTACCAACCTTCTCTACTTCATTGAAAAAAAATGTCACAACATCCGGTATATCTGATTCGATTAAAGTAACTTCCCTTTCGAAGCTTTCTGTTATCTCTTCCCAGTCATTCTTTGAAAAAAAAGATCTTATTAGGCCATCCTCAGTAAGATCAAGTATGTTCCAATAAGCGAGACTACGAGTGAAAATCCCATGATTAAACATATTCATCAAAATTCATTGGCCTTTGATAATTCAATAAACTCACTTTAAACATTTTTGGGCCTCTGGAATGGTTTCCACATATCTTGCTAATGTCTCTCCAACGTTAGTACCACTACGGAGGATCCACGATCGACATGTTTTTGGCGTTGGTTTATGATCTTCTATCCGTTCTACAAATTGATCTCCGGCATTTTCCTCCATTTCTACATAATCATTGATCTTCTAATTCAATTCTTCTTGGCCGTTGATTGTCTTCTTCAAAGACAGATCTAACGGATCGGAAATTTGTGGTCGTTGATCCTGTGCATAAGAGTCATGGAGTAACAAATGGTGGGGGAATATTAATATTGGGATATCATTTTTAAAATACGAAAAAAAATACCAATTACCAAGTATAATTCTTACATTAAGAATAAGATTTCCACTTCCTGGTGACACTCCTAGTACTGCTTTTGGTAGTGATGATGACGTATTCTTTGTAGTTTTGGCCTGTTCACGCAACAAATAGTAGAAAATGCTCGCATAAAAAATTTTATATCAAAAACTTTATTATTATATCCTAACCTTTGATAGCGATAGATTTTTTTTCCGCTTTTGTTGACGGACAGGAACAGGTTGGAAATCATCATCATCGACTAAATACATGAAGAAAGAGTTAGTTTCTATCAGACAATCACCGTTCTGTCGATTCTAAACTTCTAAATAAAATAAATGCATACTTCTTCACGATCCCTTTTTGATATAGTTAATCCAGAAGCGAAAATTCCATTTTTGTTCATATTTATATGCCCGTTAAACCCGCTGATATTCTCACAGGTAATTGTTGGTTGATGGAGATATACCTTGCTATGAGATCTTTCATTGTTCCAACTTCTTGCAACTTGACGGTCGTTTCCATTACCCTAATATAAAGGAACAATATCCGCTGGATCAGCTAGAAGCCTTTAGACACTAGAACGACCTAGAAAGTCGCCAATGCCCCAGCAGGGCCAGTGTTAGGTAAGCTAGAAACTTGAACGCAGAACAGGACCGAACGACCTAGAAAGTCGCCCTAACGACCTAGAAAGTCGTCCTAACGACCTAGAAAGTCGCCTGCGCCCTAACAAGGCCGGTATCAAGAACAGAACAGAACGAGCTAGAAGATCACCCTCGCCTTATTGTATAAAATTTTACATTTCTAACATAAAAGGTTCAAAAAGCACTTATACTTTCCCTTCTGCCTCCCTCCTCCTTAGCAATTTCTTCGAGACTTTTAATGTAACAATCGATTTTTGTTCAAAAGGTTCTATATCACAATTCTTCAGAAAATCTCGAATTTCCCATTCTTCAGAGACGCGATCGAAATATTTATGTACGTTGGACATGACTATTAAGATTGTGTTGGTGTAAAAAAAAAAATTGCAGTTATTATGATTCATTACTCCTACATAACTTTTGACGTCATTCGTGCATATGGAATTTTTGCATATATAGCAATAGAACGCCGATCAACCGATGAAGATTCTGATTGGCTAAACCAATTTCATAAGAAATTAACTTCGCAATACCAATCCTGAATTTTCACAAAAAGTCTGTAAAAGAAATGATCATCTTTTCGTGTTCTAACCTTGCTCACGTGAATTCTGAAGGTTTTTG